AGGGCCCGTGTTTATCCCTCTCTTCGCGCGCTCTCTCTCTCTCTCTCTCCCCTCCAGCTTTCCCTCCTCCCTCCTTCTCCGATGTTGAAGTCAAGCTGATTGTGCACTCACTTGTGTTGCTTTCCACGGGGCCCACATGTACTGCATATTCTTTCTCAACAGCTTATATATGCTTGTATCTTTGCTCCATGGTTATGTAGGCAACATCGCAATATGATTCCACTGCTACAAAATTAAGGAAACATTGTTCGCGCTTCTTGTGCCAAAGACCTTCGGCTCTTGCACGCTGCTGTACATCATTGCCGAAGGTTGCTTCAAAACCACTTGTGGGCTCAGGTCTGTTGTTCTGACCAAAACATACCAAAACCATATATTGTTTCCCCCTTTGGTGGGCACTGCTTGGTTTCCAAAGGAGATAATGCGGGCGTCCGCAAGCTGTCGCAAATAATTTGGAAGACAGGATCTGAGCCCCTGAAGACTCTGACGACCTGAAGCCTTGAAGATCTGCATGTGCTTTCCCTTCTCTGTTTGTGTCTTCATGGACACCCGTAAAATACCGTAAAAAATATGAAGTGCAGTCACTGCACCGCGTTGCAACATACTGCTTCGCATGCCCTAATGACCCCTAGCCCCCAATGCCACTCTTTCCAATGTAACTGCGCTTCCTGCAAAGGGATTCCAGCATGCGAGTGCACAAGTGAGTCGTTTTCCGTGTGTGCAAGCGAGTGCCATGCCCACAAGAAGAGCCTCCACGAAACAGCCACAAAGATACTATGTGGAGGGAAGCACATCCCAACATCTTCACTTGCTCCTGATCGGCACGCAATCTTTGGCATCCGACACCCCTTTCCCCAACCTGTATGTGCTGTCGGAACCGTACATGTGCTTACAGTATCATTTACGCCACGCTCATTTTCTCTCAACATTGTCAACAACCAACATCTTCATCATCTTCATCTCTCATGCCTCTCTCTCTCTCTCTGAGTGCATTCCGAGGGCATGGCCATTGGAATCAGGCACCATGTGCCATGCGGGAGTCCGTATACCGGGGCCGTTGTCACCCGTTTTGGCATCAGTCGACTGGTGTGATGGCTGCTGCGATTCTCGTGTTTTGGAAAATGATCGCTCCCGTTGGGGTGCTCCACTGGTCGCTGCGAGTGCACTTTTGTTTGGTCCGGTTGACTGACTTGGGCTCAAAGGTGGAACTGCCCGTGGCCGCATCCGTGCTTGCGCCAGGGGATCGTTTTCATCAGGAGAATCCTCCAATGCCGGTCTTGCTTTGAGCGGCCTTGGGGACCGCGGCAAAGCCTTTGGCTGCAAAGGCGCATGCGGCACCGCTGCCTGAGTCCAAGCAGAAAGAATTGCAACTGCTCAAGCTGTCAAAGGCAACTTGTTTTTGGCTTGAGAACTCTTGAGAAAGAGAAAGGTCTAAGCTAACGGTAGCTTGCTTTCCGAAGAATCTAGGAACCGTTTCCATCATGCGAAGGGTTCTTCATGAGAAGTTTCCTACTCATGCTGAACAACTTTAACTTTAACACTGAACCATGGGCATCTTGCGGCTCAGTCGCAAGGTCAACTTGTGGATCAGAGAGGCGTGATGGAGACGGTGAAAATTGTCGAATGATCAAAGAAGCTGTGGGGGAAGGGGGTGACAAATTGGAAGCTGTAGCACTCTGATTTGAAGGCCGGTCAGACAAGCACCATGAGCGAGTGATCACCTCTGGAGCAGAAGCTCTTCGTCGGCTTACGTGTCGCAAAGACAAGTCCGATGGAAGCAGTGTCTTCGAAGGCCGACGATGTGCATCCTCAGCACTTGGCGACGTTGATGCGTTTGATGGATCAAGTGGCGCAGGCGCGGAAGACAGTGAAGGCTTTGCAGAAACTTCGATCGCCTCAGTCTCCTCCGTTTGCTGAGTTCGGGAGGCGCTGCATGGTCGGCCTACTCTTTCTGCTGGATTCTCGTCCAGGACATAAACGGGGGCAGATTGCAGCGCCGACTGAATCTTTTCCCGGCGCTCTTTCTGCAAGAATCTGCGCTTCTGTCGGTCTAAGCTGTCGTTCCAAAGCCGGCCAAAAACACCTTGGCAGTACTGTTGCCACGTGGTGACACAAAAGCATTTAGGACTGGGAAAGTCTGTGCCTGACAAAAAGGTCTCTCTTGGAGCTGATGGTGATGATCAAGCAAGGCTAGCTAAAGTCACTGGCTGAAACATGTCGTAGGTCTGAATTGAGGGTGCATTGCAATTACTTGATATTATATACTTGCAATTTCTTGCTGTCGAGGTGCCTTTGACTTCACCAAACAGTGCAGAGCGTCCAAGTTTGGTTACTTTCTGCAGGCCTCATCTGAATGAATCTGAATGAAACAAAAACACACAAACATAATATACTCGAGCAAACAACGTCAGCGACCTGCTCTCTTGTCGCAATGGGCCTAATTAGCCTAGCAACAGCGCTGCAAATCTTCATCAGCTTCCAGTGCGGGGGATGATTTCAAAGCAGCTTCTGCCATTCGGACCTTGTCGATCGTCGATCACCAAATCTCTGCAAAAACACATGGCACTGCGTTCATTGCTTCAGATCTACTACTGTGTATCCTGGAACTGTGACATCTCAGAAAAATTGCACTTGAAGGCCTGATCATTGAGGAGCGCAACTGCTTCCCTGGTCTGCGCAGACTCTTCCACAGCGCACTTCAAGGCAACTGCTACGCGTGCAGTTATTTCGCACATCCCGTTGAGCTCTTCTTGGAGCTCCTAAGAGGATGCCGATCACTGGCTCCACGGTTCTGTGAAACATCCTTATCATGGTGCTTTCATGCACTCCTTGGCTGCCACAGCGGCTTCCTTTGCCGTCTTTATGAAGGAGCTCCGAGGGCTGTGTTGTGCTCCTTCTTCACCTGAGTGAACACAAATCACGACATTGCCCTCCTTACTTGCTAAAACAAAACATTTATTTACAGTACATTCCCTTTCCGTTCTTTTTGTCAATTTCCTTCTTCTTTAGACCTTTTTCTTGTTTCCTTCCTGTCTTTATTTCCTTCTATGTTCCCTTCTTGACTTGTGTAACGTGGTAACTTCTGATGTGTTCAGATTCGCTGAGGCATAAACATCAAATCAAGCAATTATGTTTGCCTCACTTGGCTTCCAACCTTCTGGTCTGTCATCCAAAGGTGCTCGTTGTAACACATTTGTCAGCTTGCGCAGCTTCTTCAGACGTGCCTGCAAGGCTCAGGTCAGCTCTCTCAAACACCACAAGTGCCTGCATTCTCGTGGAGCCCTCGTTAAGAACAAAAAGTGCTGTGGATCGCCTTCTACTTGGGCCTACTGTTCATGAGGGTTTTGAGACGATTTTGTCCTAGACTGGATGGTGAGTGAGGCCTATGAGACCTTAAGTCGTAGACGGTACGACCCCCTGCTAGTCCTTACCAAAACACTCTACTTTGACACCAAAGTTGCTTCAAATCTTTCCGTTGAACATCATTCACTTTCAATTGCCTAGTTCTCAATGCCCATGGTGCTTGTTGCACTGCCTTGCCTGCACTCGCTCAACTGCTGATGCTGCAGTGGCACCTGTAGAGTGAACATGCTCAGTGCTGGTACAACACAGCACTTGCAAAAGTTCTCTGCCGCTCTGAAGGTATTTGGACGTCTGGCTTGGCCGACGCCATTGCCATTGGTCCCCCAAAAACAACTATATAACGCCGCCAGGTCAGGGGCCTAAGCTCTCTTCTGAGGCATGGCCGACATTCTCCGAATCCTTACCACCAATGCAATTTGGCGGAATTCCATTGAGTTCTGGGAGAACATGAGGCCTTCATAGACCTTCTGATTCACATGCTACAATATCACAGCAGAAGCTGTGCACTTGGGCTAACGGTGGCAGATTGACAATGAGCTGAACAATCGAAGTACTGTAAAGCGTCTGTATGAGCTTCTGTTCCAGCTGTTGCCAAAGATAGCAGCTCATCATGCAAGTGGTTGATCCCACTATTGATCGCACCGCTGGCATCAACCTGCACAAGGTCCACGAAGCTTGGGTTACACAAATCAACAATGCTCTCCCCGCCCATCTCTTGCAGTATTGAGGACAGCCGCACAGGTGTACCCAGCACGCGCTCTTCTTTCGTCATTTCATCTCAGTCCCTGGCGTTCTGATCATCATTTGTGTGCCTCACCATCTGAGATTTAAGCCAGTGAAAAGCTCGCAGCCAAGCAGTATTGGAATGAAGGGTAGGGGAAAACAGCGCGACGAGTGGGAACATGTGACAAGCAGGATGGTTGGTCAAGCTGCTGCGCCGAAGAAGTGCCAGAACTAGAACATTCTTTCTGCTTTCTGTCCTGTAGCAGACTGGTGCTGAACCTATTGAGTGGTGTAAGTGCTGAACCTATTTCTTGCTTTAAGCCAACATCAAGCTTCAGTCAGGTCCTTTCCAGGAAGCAGTTGCTGCGTCATTTCGGCCAAACATTCAGCATGTTGCAACTCCAGGTCAGCCTCTGCAGGAATTGGGTACGTGAGTCACGACATAGCTGACTTTCAGTTGCATGCAACAATGCAAGTGAATAGTAATACTAAAAGTGGTCGACGCCACCAAAACCTTTTCCACCTCGCTTGAGCCTTCCAGGCTTCCAACGACACTAACCCCCTTTGGCGCAAGTGCTCCGCCGCTTCGCGGCTCTGGGAGATGCGCTGCCGGTACCGGCGTTTTCGCTCGGCAGCGTCCTCGCGAAGCGCTTTCGCTTGGGCCGTACCTCTCAGAGACCAGCTGTTCTCTGAGATCGCCATCATCAGTCGGCCATTGCCCATCAGCTTGGTCAGGTCGTCCGCGATGTGGTCGTTGCCTGGCACCCATCGTACCAGACGGTTCCCACCATCCTCAAACAAGGCCTGCTTCATCGCCGCGATGTCGATGGCCAAGCGGCGATATTCACCATGCCCTGACCCGTTCAACAGGTCATAGCCCGTGCGGCTGTCCAGCACTGTCACCAAGCGCCAGTGAGCCACGTGCAGCAGCCATTGGTCGATGTCGAATGCGACATACAAAGCCTCAGCCATCACGGCTCTCAAGAAGTCGGCCTGATCCAAAACCTCCGCCGCCTGGCTGATCTCGGCTGCCAAACTTGACCACCCTCTTGAGCAAGGCCGAATGGAAGGTGATCGGCGCGGCCGAAGCTTTGCCCTCCAACATGTCAGGATGTGCTATGAGGTGCTCCACCCTGACTGCGACCATGCGGCATGTCCCCAGAGCAAGCATCCGAGGCCGCCACCACCATCCATTGTCCAGGAAATCCCCAGCGGCTTGAACCGCATCGTCTTCACATCCTTGGCTCTTTCCACCAGAACATAGAGCTCGTCCAAGGCTGCAGGGTCGCCCACACCAGCCAACTGCTGTACGCGAGAGACCCCAAAGAGCAAGTCGCCACGGCATTGTCTAGCCAGCCATGACAGTTGACCGCACACATGCCCCACCCACTTGCGCTCGTTCAAGGTGAGCTCCGTGCCATCCTTCTCGATGGGGTTGCCCCTCGTCCTCTTCGGCGGGAATTGAAGCTTCTCACAGAACTTGGAGCCGACCGTGTAATCGGGGGAGGATTGGTTCAATCGGGGGAGGATTTTCCTTGTGCCGGAAAGAGGGGTAAGCATTTCTGGCATCACAAGGACTGTGCATACACTAGGGCGTCCGTAGTGTAGGATAAGCGCTGGTAAAGGGCCTTGAGGAAATAGCCGGCTTATGGTTATGGCAAATCTGGGGGGTAAATTTACCCCCCGCTTATGCATGCACTAGGCTAGAAATAGGGTAAAATAAAGAACTTGTAACAGTGAAGTACAAGGCCTATGCAGCAAGCAGCAGCCAGCAGCAGCCGCCAGCAGCAGCCGCCAGCAGCCAGCAGCAACCACCAACCAGCAGCCAGCCAGCAGCACCACGCAGCAACAGCGCAGCACCAAGCCGCAGCAGCAGCAGCACCACCACCAGCAGCAAGCAGCAAGCAGCAGCAGTAGCAAGCAGCAAGCAGCAGCAGCAGCGGCGTCGTCAGCAACAGCAGCAGCAGCGGCACCAAGCCGCAACAAGTAGCAAAGCAGCAGCTACAAAAGCGGCAACCAGCGCCAGCAGCAAACAGCAGCAGCAAGCAGCAGAGCGGCAGCAGCAGCACCGTTTACACCAAGCCACCGTTTACACCCAACCAACCACGTTCACACGTTCAACCAACCCCCGCTACACGGCGCAGCTGGGAGTCGAACCGTTGGGGGGGGGTAGCGTGATATATCAAGCTTTAAGGCACACAGCTCATCCCACTACCAATTGCTAAAGCAAAGAAGAACTCAGCTAGCATGCTAGCTTTCGTGATCAAGCTTTAAGGCACGCAGCTCATTCCACTACCAATTGCTAAAGCAAAGAAGAACTCAGCTAGCATGCTAGCTTTCGTGATTATCTACCGCTTTTGTATGCCTTGGGTAGGAAAGAGGGGTGAGCATTTCTGACATCACACGGACTGTACATACACTAGGGCGTCCGTAGTGTAGGATTAACACTGGTAAAAGGTATAAGGAATAGAGTGTCTTGGGGCAATAGCCGGCTTATGGTTATGGCAAACTTGGGGGGTAAATTTACCCCCCGCTTTCGTATGCCTTGGGTCGGAAAGAGGGGTCAGCATTTCTTGCACCACAAGGACTGTACATACATTAGAGCGTCCATAGTGTAGGAGAAGCACTGGTAAAAGGTATAAGGAATAGAGTGTCTTCAAGAAATAGCCGGTAGCAAATTTGGTGGGTATGGATACAATCAACAAGTTTGCCAAACCACACATGTCCAAGACAGTAAATTCAAACACTTTACTCTCAGGTATTGAAGATTCATCAACTGACGAGGCGCAGCCAAAATGTTATGTGATGCATCCACAAGAAAAAACGAGCAAATGACCATGCTTCCGACGAAGCTGACCATGCTTCCGACAAAGCTCGTCAATGAATCCTAAATACAAACACTAAGAGTGTCTAGATGAAATAGCTGGTGTACTGTTATGGTAAATCTGGAGGATAAATTTACCCACCGCTTTTGAATATGCCTTGGGTCGGAAAGAGGGGTGAGCATTTCTGACATCACACGGACTGTACATACACTAGGGCGTCCGTAGTGTAGGATTAACACTGGTAAAGGGTATAAGGAATAGAGTGTCTTGGGGCAATAGCCGGTAGCAAATCTGGCGGGTATGGATACAATAAACAATTTTGCCAAACCACACATGTCGAAGACAGTAAATTCAAACACTTTGCTCTCAGGTAATGAAGATTCATCAACTGACGGGGCGCAGCCGAAATGTTATGTGATGCATCCACAAGAAAAAACGAGCAAATGATCATGCTTCCGACGAAGCTGACCATGCTTCCGACAAAGCTCCTCAATGAATCCTAAATACAAACACTAAATCAGTGGATGTTTTGCAAAAATGCATGCAAAATCCCATGGGTGTCATCTTGATTCTCCAATAATTACGTGTGCTTCCACTACCCAGGATCATCCAAAATTCAAGTGCATGATGTCTTTGACATCCTGGTTTTGAATGCGCACCCCAAAATCAAAAATACCAAACAAAACACCAACAATTTCCAACATGTAACAACACCTCCACTAATGCCAAAACGCCTGCAGCTGGGAGTTGAACCGCGGGGGGGGGGAGGTCCTTAGCGTGATATATCACGCTAGAGTGGGGGGGCCAGGCCCCCCCCCCCCTTAGTGTGATATATCAAGCTTTAAGGCACGCAGCTCATTCCACTACCAATTGCTAAAGCAAAGAAGAACTCAGCTAGCATGCTAGCTTTCGTGATAATGACAGTATATATACAGTAGTTTTTACTTAGAATGATCTTGTAGGACTTGAGATCCAAGGCTTTACTTATATCGCCACGTGCAAGCAAGCGAACAAACACACAAATTCACTCTTCCCTGACAGGAAACGACATCTGCCACGCTTCTGTCTTTTTCAACCAGTTGACTAAGCATACCAAGTTCAACACCAAATGCCACGTCTGGCGCCCGATACTTTCTGCATCTCAGGAACCCCATGCTGCACTACATATCGGGCCTGACACATGGGGCACGAGCATGGAAAGAACTGAAGCTAACATTTATATATCAGAAAGAATAAACTTGCACATGTAGGAAACTGGTGTGCCGCCTGTTCCTCCAAAGCTTGTCTCAAACGCTTGTTTTCCAGCTCGAGATCACATGCATCTTGGCCCACAGGATTTGCTTGCTGGGTTCACGCACATGCTAGCAGAAAAGGCCTGGAATGATGCAAACAACACTTAGGATTACACTATCAAATGGACATCCCTTGACTGCCAAATCCCAAACCCACAAATTATAGTGAGGAGAGTGTCATGTACAAAATTCTGTTTGGAGTAAAACAATTCTGTGTCCATCAACAACGTCCCCGAATGGGTCCAAACATTGTGTCCTAAGTGCTGCCCGGTCGCAGGCTGACATTTTGATGTGGTTTGAAATTGCATCCTGTCAAAAAGGGCAGTCAACACAATGAAAAGTAAGAAAGGTTGTAAAAAGACTTCAGCTGAATTTGGTGATTGACACGTTTGCACCATGTGATGCCCTACCAAACTTTGCCCCAGCCAGTCCCAATTCTAAACGTGACCCTTTGCAAACATAAGCTGGGACCCAGGAGCAACTCTGCATCAACTCAGTCAAAAGGATCACAGTGTGAGCTCGCAAGTGCAGCTTGGAAAGCCATGAGACATGCAGCATGTCAACACAATGCAAAGGTGCCCGCTACAGCCTGGAGCTCGCGATCGCTCTCACGGAGTTTGACAATAAGATCACCAACCTCCTCAACTATCCTGATCAACTGTGTAACGACACATCATTAAGTCGTGATACCTATATCTATGCAATGGAACATGCAATGCCCAGTGCAACCAAAAATCGGGTTTGTTTCGGCGTCGCTGTCTCCGAGTGAACTGTCAATAGCCTCTTCGCTGGACTGACGGGCCTCAATTGCTCGGATGTGGAGCCTGTGGCTGAAGATGCTCAAACACCCCGTAGATATATAGATAGATAGATATATATAGATATACACTTGTCCCTATAGTCACACACATATGTATATATCTTTTTTTCCACGCATGAATAATATACTAGTCACCGGTCATCGACAAAGCGTGCAAAAGGCATCGATGAATTACATTACTTCGAAGTGCTCCCACCAGCCCAACTACACGGTGACTGGCGAGGCATCCCTGGGCCGCGGTGTGTTGTGGTTGGTGTTGTCATTTTTGCTGTGCCTGTCCTGGTGCGTTGTCAAGCATTATTTGCATGTATTGCATTTGTGTTGTGTATGTGTCACTGCTTCTTTACTGTTGTCGTGTTGTTTGTTGTTTGCAGTTACATTTATCATTGCAACCGGTGATGCGCAGCAACCAGCAGAAGCAGCAGCAGGGTGGGCTGTCTAGCTAACATCTAACTGCCCTAACTGGAGGCCAGGGGTAGGAGACCGAAAGCAAGCGGAAGCACACAGGCGGTTTCTTTATCCGCACCGCGGTCGTTGAGGTCAAAGCTTACCATCGAGATTTCAATGAAGTGGGACCAAAAGGGTGCGCCCACAAACAATGAAAGTAAGGTCCACTTTACCCGCAGCTATGGGGGTGGACGAAAGATAAAGAGCTTAGATAGAGCTTAGCTGCTTAGCAACAGCAGTCCAACAGTCAGCAGCAGCAAGCAGCCAGCAGCAGCAGCGGCGGCGGCAGCAGCAGCACCAGCAGCAGCAGCACCAGCCAGCCAGCCAGCCCACTCATGGCCGCCAGCCAGCCAGCCAGCAGCCAGCAGCCAGCAGCAACCACCACCACCAGCAGCAGCAGCAGCCGCCTTAAACCAAGGCACGGTGTACACCAGCCACCGTTTACACCAAACCACGGTTTACACTAACCACTGTTTACACCAAGCCACGGTTTACACCAACCACCGTGTACACAAGTGCACGGTTTACACCATACACCAAACAGGGTTTACACAAACCACGGTTTCCGGTTTACATCAGCCATTGTTTACACCAAACCTACACATATGCTCAACCAACAGGATTCACGAACAGGGTTAGCATGATATATCATGCTATGGGGGGGTCCCCCCCGTAGCATGACATATCAGGCTTTAAGGCACAAAGCTCATTCATCCCAATACACAATTCTAAAGCAAAAGAAGAACTCAGCTAGCATGCTAGCTTTCGTGATCCTGTCGGGTGGGAAATGAGTGATTTGCAACCCGTGTCTTGCTCACTTCAAACAAAGCACTCGCTGTGGGGTGTCAGCAAGCTCATTCTCCAAGAATACTTTTTCCAAGTCAAAGCATGGTGGTGCACTTCTTCTTCTTTCTTGCCAACGCCCCATTGTCTTGCGAAGCATCTCGTTCTCCTCCAAACGGCGTGCACCATGCCTTCTTCAATTTCAGTACAGTCAAACCTGTTGAATGCAATTGTTTTGAGAGACTCTGAGAATGCAGGATGTGGCCTTTATCACCGTCTCTCCGTAGACTCGCTGTCTCTCCAGCTGCTCTGCCCTAAGCCACGTTCAGTAAGGAAATCAAATCCACACATACACACATTCACATTAATGTGTCCGAAAAATGGTTAATTGCCATTGCCATCACATAATCAAAACAGGCGACCCAGAGTGTACATGTTCACACGAAAAATGCTTTAATGTCATCATCTGCCTGCATGTCATCGACAACAATAAAGTGAGAACAAGAGCCACTTAAAGCTACTACAACATCAGCAGAAGAAACAGAAATTACAAACATCATATTAAGGAGGTCTGTGACTTCAGGCGCCACCCCAAAGGGTGCAGGAACAGTGTGTCTGAATGTTTTCTTTGGGTTTTCAAGGTATGTTCTCACTCTTTTATTGTGTTCTTGTTTGGTGCATTTTTCCTAGTGTCTTGATACTAAATACTATTCCGCTATATTTTGGCAGTGCCCCCTTGTAGTTCCCATTTGCCATGGGCTTTCCCAAAGGTCACATGTTCATTTCTGCCACTAGGAGTAAGATTTCTTGTAATTAATGTCGACGATTAGGTGCTTTGCTTAACTTCTGATTTGCTTGAGCGCCACAACAATTTTACATCGAAGTTCTTTTCGCTCACATGAGATCCAGGTGGCCGGGACCGAACATATCGAAGCAAACAGTTAGAACAGTCATCAGCTAAACAAACATGTTTTCTCTCTTCTGAAGTTGTGCTGCCTCTTCGCACTGTTCATCTGCGCATCTCTAATGTAAGGACTCTTCCATTCAACTAGAGGACAACATGATGATGGACATCAAGTGCACAAGGATGGTGACAAGCTGAAAACTGAAAACCGACAAATGAGCTACTGTAATTGCCACTTGAACAAACCAACTAAGAAGAGAAGAACTGGCAATAATACAATCGACGTACTAGTCAACAAGGGAAAAGCCAGTGTCAAGGAGAGGAGTGAAGGAGTGGCTGGGTCAACAGCGCCAGGACCTATATACTATGTACATAGATCTGCCCAATCAATCCTCTTGTAGGTGGCCTAGCTCCTTCTATTTATGTTTTTGTCTTCTTGATTCTCAGCCCTCTTCAAGAACAGGTTCATTTCAAAACAAACTTAAACAAACGCTAATATATATAAATATATATGTTTTATATGTCTTAATTAAACATACAGAAGCAGCAGCAAGAGAAAAACACACCTACTGAGATCAGGAAGAGCTTGTTGAGGAGAGAAGAAGAGTCAATCAATTGCATGATTGGGATAACAAGAGAGCCCAACAAAGAATGGCACACACACGACAATCTAGTCAAGAAGTGGAACCCCCCTGTTTCAGTAGAGGAGTGACTCAAAAAGGACCCCTACATATGAAGAAGGCATAAAGTATAATACCAGGATGGGGGCAATCAGGTCTTGCATCTTAGGTTCTTGAGCGTCACTCTGTGTGTTTCTCTGTATTCTTAAAGAGTGTCAGTATTTCGTGGCTGCATATGTAAGAATAGAAGGAGCCAAGCAACATATAGAGACTTCACTTCACCAATAGAACCGTCCAAAAAATGGAAGAACTTGTGTAGAAGTGGACAAGCTTGGAGAATCACTAGAATGAACCTTAAAGAATGGGGCAGGCCAACAAAACGCTTCTAGAAATCTTTAGAAGCTATCAACAACTCAAAAGCCAACAAAAAGTGCATTCCTGCAGTCCTCTGCTCTTTATTCAATTCACCTGAAAAGTTCCTGGTGACTTGCCAAGGTTCATGATCATGTCACGATTTTCCAACAGCTGCAACTCGCGTCGTGTTTCTTGCAGCTCTTTGCTGAAGCACGCAATCTCTTCATCCGCCTACAGCCCACAAGCATGCACACCTGGAAACTCAAACATGTGCGCAAGTTAGCGTCTTGACACAGCTATTCCTAGGGGAACTCCACACAGAAATGCCCTGGCGCATAAACAAAGCTACAAAACCACCCGCGCCAAAGCAACTCCACCTTGTGAAACACGCAACACCCAAGACCAGGACCGACAAATGAGGCAGTCAGGACGAACCCAAGGTGAGCGAAATGCTACCCCACAAGAGGGAAGAAGTAAAGAAAGGTCACTTCCCGAAAAGCATTGCCTGCACCCTCCCAAGATTCCTCCCTTGCTCGCTCGCTCCAAAGGCGTACATGCACACCAGGCAAACACTCAGTGAGAAAACCCAAATTAGGGACACCCATGGACACGACACCCATATGAAATCAACTCAAGGCACCTTTGCCAGTCTTTCCTGGAGGTCTTTTGATTCCTCTATGCTTATCCTTGGAGCTGGCTGGCTGCCCATTTAGAGTACAAAAAGAGAGCTCAAGATACCTGCAAGAGAATGACACATAACCGGATGTGACCTAACCTAAAAGCACAAATGCTGGCAAATGGAGCAACCGTCTTTGGGGCCCAGGTTCTTCATTTTCTTGCGGGCGTTGTCGCGTTCACGAAGCAATACCCGCGCTTGTTCTGCAGCGTTCTTGAGCTCTCCTTCGCGCTGGGAGGCCACCTCCTTAGAGATCAACTGTCACCTAGTAAACCTTGACATCATCATGCCTGAAATGAACTGAACATGTACAAAAATATGTTACAAACACATATATACCTGCACACATATGCAACACTTGGCAGTTTCAATTGGCACACCTAGTCAAAGAAGCATTCCTTGCCAGTGCTTCCAAGACTCGCTAACAGACTGCATCTCTTGCCGCAATTGTTCGGCTTCAGCCGTCAATTCAGCCAGTGCAGACTCTGATGCGTGGTTGGCCTTGAGCACAGTCATATTTTGAACCAACAACATGGTGCATTTTGGCGCCTTTGTGGAATTGAACTAGTCCCAGCAGGTCCAAGCAATCAACGTGCCACAAGACTTTCCGCTATCCTGTGTCCATATGTAGTAGCTTAAGTAGCTTGAAGCAAACTTCTCCCTTACTCAATTATATAAGTAGGAGCGGGATAAACAAATTGAAAGGAGAAACACGCCGAATCGCCAGTATGGTCTGAGTTGAGATGCTGTTTCAGCTCCAAAGGTCACATCTCTGTAGCCTTTGGATGCCACGGCAAGCTCGCGTTGCAAATGACGGCGCTCCCGCTCCAACTCCACGATTTCCATCCTACATTGAGAATTTGACATCTAAGCTTTTTGATGCTTTTTTGTAAGCGGGGTGAGCCTACAGGTAGGCCAGTTTAAGAGTAGCCGGTTAGTAAGGAAGCAAGCAAGCTACTAAGCTTAAGAAAGTACTGGGATCGTGGATGCAAACGGCTCAGGCTTCTTCAAGGAAGCTCCCCCTGCCTGAGGGCGGGGGCTTCCTTGAAAACGCCTGGGCCTCAATAATTTGGCTCCTAGATTTATGGGGAAACTTAGAACTTATTGACACCGTTTGAACTTGAGAGGAGGGAGACACGAAAGGTAGGACAGCGGGAAGAGAAGAGAACGCGAGAGGCAGGAACAAAAATGCAATGTTTGACATGGTGATTTATCCCCTCGGAGGCGACCTTTCGTAAATCGTAAATATATGTTCATATGCACTCTAATTGTTCAAACATGTGCTCTGGAAATGTTCAAAAAGATTCTTAGGAAAACATAGGAAAACAAACTTGCCCCATGGATCAGATCATCGGTGAGCATTGAATCGGAGCATCATAGGATTTAAACATATTTAAACTATCCTGAAACCATAAGAGGCTCACGAAGACGCTCCCCAGGAGAGAATTGACGTGCTTCACAAAACAAACTCTAGGTATGTATCCCCTCGGAGAACACCTTTCGTGATTAGAATTTCATATGCACTCTTTCTAGATGTTCAAGAGGGTTTCAACTATCCTGAAATCATGAGAGGCTCACGAAGACGTTCTCCAGGAGAGAATTGAATTTAGAGGGCGGGGTCTGTATTGAAAAATCAATTCCAAGGGGGCCGGGGGGGGGTGAATTGAGTGATCAATTATTAGACCCGGACGTCCCAACACTTGCTTCGCAAGACAAACTCAAGGTATCCCCTAAAGGGCTACCTTTCGTGATTATTCCCCATGGAAACATGTTGCAAGAAGTTGACCAACCATGTGTCCAGGGCATGGTGGCTTCTGCCCACAAACAATCCAAGGCTCGACATTTGATTAATGGTTTCCTGAACCAGCTCAATGCAGGAAATTTCTCACGAAGCTGGCAAGCTTGTTTTCTTTGATGTATACATGTCATCTTATCTCCTTGTGCTTCGTCACTTCGCTGCTGATCAATAGCTCTTTCAACCGCTCGACTTGACCAAAGTTGACCTGGAAGAGAGGTTCCGTTGTGAGAGCCTGAGAGCCTGAACTCTGAGTTGCTGACCGTCGGAGTCACGTCGGAATTCCCTTCGAAAATCATCTTCATCTTTTCCTGGGAGGCCATCGCTACTAGTAGGAAGAAGCTACTAGGTGGAGGACATCACTATTAGGTTGGAGGCCATCGCTATTAGGTTCGGGGGAGAAGTACGCCGCTAATTACTAGTAGCAATGTCACTAAGTAGGCGGCCATTAGGCCCCTGGACGCAGGAAAGCTCAAGCACTATTCATTGGGTCTCCTATTGCCACTAACAGTGGATGATGATGGTTAGCAAAGGCCTTTCTCTGTTTACTGACAGTCACAGGTAATAGGACAAACCCAAAAGTATTCATGTGGTTACGTTCCAAACATTTTAGGAACACTTAACTAGAAGCAAGCTGACACACGTATTCAGCATTCCTGATTGCTGCGCACGCGCGATACCGATCCAGTGCTTTCACATGAATCCTTGATGACTTCCAGGCAGTACTGCAGCTCGTGTGGCTGGAGCGTCTTCATTGGTTCCTTGATCAACTTCGAGGAACTTTGTCCAACAGTCGTGGCAAGGAGGGCTCTCTCCCACAAAATGCTCACTATTTCATCATAATATCATACTCCATCCAACCAGCTGCCAGGTTACGAAGAAGAACATCACGTCCTTCAAATGCCTTGAGTGACACCATCCGGCATGTGTTGATATGATTTGATATGTGTTGTACAATTCCCGTGTTGATTCATTCCCACATTAACTTTTAACTGTTGTGTTTACAAAAGCTTGTCTAGTGGTCTTCGGCAAATTGGTTCTCAAAGAGGTCCGCCTCTTGACATGAGCCAAGCGGGGTTCTCCATCAAGAAAGGGCAATGGCACACAGTTCCCAGGTTCCCTACCATTTCGTCGAGGCTCCCATCACCAAGAGCTTTCTCAGGATCCCCACGGATGCGCACTTCGTCCCGAAGTGTGGAAATCTCTTTGAGGAATTCGGTTCCTTTGAGGAAATCCGCGAAGCTTTGTCTCCGGCAAGTGCTTGTCAACTGGTGGCCAGGGAAGCACCCTGACATCTCTCTAGTCTAGTCCTGAGACCTTCTGAGACCCATGCTGGCCTCCCTGAACTGATCTTGCAAGGTGACATTGCGATTTTTGAACTTTTCCATTTCTTCCTGCCGACCATGACTGCACAGCTCTGACGCGTGCTAACTGCCTAACATTGAATCATCACAGCAGTTGTGCGGCCTTTAGGGGCTCCATCAAATCTTTCCACACGGTTCTGATGGTCATGACTTTCGCCTGGCAAAACAGCCAAGCATTCAAAGCAATAAGCAGCACTCTTGGCCTCTTAGTCTTAATGGGTGTCAAAGCCTGGTGGAGAGTTCTGGCTGCTAGCTCGTGTAGGCTGCCATCGCCCTCGTCCAGGAAAGGTCTCATAAGCTTGGAGGTTCTCGCCATCACTGGCACAAAGGACAGAACCTCAACAAAATACAATGTTGAGAATGCAGTTGCATCAACTTGCAAGCACTCCGTTCCATGGCTGTTGTTAAACTTAGACTTGTTCACTTGTGTTGCTATCCCTTGAAGTCAGCTGTCTTGAGTCTCAAGCCATTGAGTATTCTGTCATTTTCATTTTTTTGAATGCTATCTTAGATGCACAAACGCTCCAGCAACCAAATTGCTTGTGTTTGTTCTATGACTCTGCGCCATTCCGGGACGCAAGCCTTGCCGAGAAATTCGGCTTCAGCTTCTGTGAGTGGATCTGCAAGCCTGATCAAGTTTAGACCGTAGGCTGATCTGACAGGCGTGCGAAAGCGATCTGAGGATATCACTTTCTGGCAGATTGTCGCGCCACAATGCTGCAAGAAGCCCTGACAGAAGTGCATCAGCCTTTGAATGGCTGGAACCCTTTGAACAAAGTCTTGCCAACCGAGTGTGACAACAAATCAGAAGCAGTCAGCCTTCGACGATGCCTTCCCAAGGATAACAAACGGAGCACGATGAGTAATTTGCGTACCTGTCAAACCGTGACAATGAGATGTAGTTGTTGTTATGCAGCTGCAAGAAATGTTGTCCTTTTTTACCTCCTTGCAAACAAGTTTCTCTTGCTTTGAACCCTCTGGGTTTGTCATAAGCACGCGCTCTCACGAGAAAGCTTCCGTCCGCAGACATCCTGAGCTTGCAGGGAATATGAATATGTAACATGTATGATAAGCACCCAAGACAGCACCATGACATATACACTACACCATGACCATGTTGGAACGCAAGGGATGGCAAGAGGCCGTCTCTCGTACTCCTGCGGCATGGCTTGACCAGGCTCCCTCACATGGCTAGCTGCGGCTCTGACTTAGGTGCTTGAGCCTCGCTGCAAAGCCATCGAGCAATGCTCAAACCGAAGCAGGTAGACTGGGGACTATACAAGTTAACAAAACTGGCGAAACCATTCCCATTCCGCAAGACCTGGTCTTCGAACTCGCGGCAGTGCTCGCGCTCAAACCTGCTTCTGCCACCCATCTATGAAAGAGCGAACCGAGCCCAACAAATGCAAACCTGCACAACGAACATCACTGAAAGCACAAGCATACTGTTGGGATGTTTTTCTCTAGGGCGCCATGCCTGCGCAGTACTTGTAGGAAGTTTGGGTCCTCAATGCATTGCAGCATGACCTGACAGTCTTAATCTTTGGATTCTGGCGGCAGGCCTTGTGGCAAAAAAACATGAACACAAACTTGTGCAATGAAGATGCCCATGCATCTTTGTCAAGTCAAACCTCAACACGTCGATTTGTTTCAGGTGATGCTAGCGTCATGAAAACTAAAGGCTGAGCATAGGCATAGGGTGAGTTTTATGATTCTGTCGATGTAGTTCGATGATGGCTCACGCCAAAACACTCCAACACAGCAATCCGTCATTTACCCAAAAACTTTATGACCTCCGTCGGGTCCATTCCTCCAAACCTGAAAACAGTAGGCCACGTCGTATGCCATGACCTCCAAGCAGGAGCATGATAGTACACGATCAGTTGCTTCTTCCGACACAGAGCCTCACAACTTAAAACTGTTTGGGAGGAGCTCGCCTTGACCGCCAAAGGCCAGTTAAATGCTTTGCGTCACTAAACGGCTTTGGTAGTTGCAGGTAAGAGTTTTTGGTTGAGGAATGCAAGCAAGTGATCCGATCATAGCTTAACCAAGACCAAGCTCTGAAGCTACCATACTAGCAAAGCATGTGATGCTACAACTGTCTGGCAGGTCATCGAGGCAAAGGGTGGTTTTAATTTCCAATTTTTCAGAAGATGCTGAAGAAGTCAACATACGATAAAGAGCGAGGAGCAACCAGGCGGCAAGTTATATGTAGCTGGAACAAGGCTCCTGTGTTTTGTAATATAAGGTATATATTTATATATAAGTAAGGCATTACTTGGTGCGAATCCAGCCTCTACTGGTGCCCGTTGAAGTTGATACATTTTGCATGTGGGATACTAAACCACCATGGAACGCCGATTTGCAAAAGTCAGTACTTAAGTCAAGACTGCTGGCCTTCCCCATTGTAAACGCTACATACAGAACAAGGTTCTCCAGATTCGCCTTTCCAAAAAGAGAAAACTTCAACTGCAAATCCCAATGGCAACGCAATTTGGAGAGCTACCCGACGTGGTAACTTACCCCATCGCACATGAACTTGACCCACCCCCATGGCACACCGCTTACCCCACGAATGTAAGAACTTACCCCATTTGGACAAAATGACACACCGCTTCGAAACAAGCACTTTTTCTCCTAGATTGTTTCTAAACCTACACTATTCCATTGCGATTCAACCTTCTACATGTTGATGTTTTCAAGTGTTATCTATGGGTTGCCGTGATCCAATCCCCATGGCACCCCGATTCTGACCCACATGTTGGTACCAGCTTTAAGTTTCTACCTGGAGTGCAAACAGCATGGAATTGTTCTTTAAACGTCAAAAATATCTATGCATTCTTGTGTGTATTCCTCTCCCAATCCCCATGGCACGCCGCTTCGAAACAAGCACTTTTTCTCCGAGCCTAGATTGTTTCTAGACCTACACCATTCCATTGCGATTCAATCTTCTACACGTTGATGGGTTCTAAGGTTTCCTATGGGCTGAAATGATCCAACCCCCATGGCACACCGATTCTCACCCACATGTTGGCACCACCTTCAAGTTCCTACCTCGAGGGTAACCACCCAGACACGAAAGTCCTTGCAAAGCAGTTGCGGCAAGCAAATCACACTGTGACACCACACCACGACTAAGTCACGGCGGAGTCACTTAGTTTTCGCGTGGGACACCGCGCTTCACCAAACAGGCCATCTAAGCCAAAACCATGCTTTCCAAGCCCAGTTTACAACCGGACACTGCCACAATGATAGGGTTTGCGCAACAACAGCCAGCAGCAAATGAGTAGGCTTTGTAGCGCAGGCAGCGGCAGCAGCAAGCAGCAGCAAAACAACACCAACAACCCAACAGCAGCAGAAGGTAACCAGCAGCGGCCAAACATCAGCAGCAAGCCGGCAGCAGCAAACCAGCAGGCAGCACCAAGCCAGCAGCAGCTAACCAGCAGTATAGTAGCCAACCAGCGCCAGCAAACCACCAGCAGCAAAACAGCGCAGCGCAGCAGCAGCAGCAGCACCCAACCAGCAGAGGCTAGAAACCACATCATCCCATGGCACACCGTTTTCACCAATCCCACATCACAGGAGCAAATCCCACATTGTCCCCATGGCACATCGGCTTCCGATCTCTGCCAGAAGTATGCTAAGACCGCGAAAAAACCATGGTTAGCTTGCGTTTTGCCTTCTTTGGTGTTTGTGTGTGCGCATTCCTGTCTTTCAACGACTGTGCAGGACACACTTCCGCGTGGCACACCTGCGAAAAATGTGAACATGAACGCTTCAAAACATGAACCCTGCAAATCGCTCCTTGCCTGGGGGGCCATGTAAATTGAAGAGGCCTTTGCTTATATACACATATGTGTTGTGACAATGCCAATCCCCATCGCACACCTCTGGAGGTCCTGGTGCCTGGTGGGTTGGGCGAGATAGAGGGCGAGGTATTGGGCGAGATGAACAAGTTTGCCCAGAAGACCCATGCCCACTAACGCCCAAACACAAAGTCCTTGCAATGCAGCTGTGGCAACCAATCAAAAACTGGGACACCACGCCACGACTAAGTCACTGGAGCACCGCGTTTCGCCAAACAGGCCTGCCACCAAGCTTGATGTCACGTTTCCAATGCCCAGTCTGCAATGGAAGCAGCCTGCTATAATCATAGGGCGTGCAAGACAATGACAGGCAGCAAATGAGTAGGCCTTGTAGCCCAGGCCGCAGCAGCGGCAGCGACAAGCAGCAGCAAGCAGCAGCACCGGCAGCAACCAAGCAGCAAGTAGCAGCACCGGCAGCAATCAGCCAGCAGCAGCAGCAGCCAACCAGCAGCAAGCCGACAGCAAGCCGACAGCAGCCAACCGCCAGCAGCAGCAGTAGCCAACCAGCAGCAGCAAGGCAGCAGCAGCAGAAAACCAGCAGCAGAGCGGCAGCACCAGCGAAGGTAGCCAAATCAAGCTTTCCCCCAAGGGCACGCCTCATCTGGCACAAGTTCATGCCACTCAATAGTGTGCCCGCTTCACAGCGGAAGCCAGGTTTCCATGAGGACCCTGCTTCCGAGGGTTGGCCCTATAAGCCCTTGGAGGGTTGGACATATGAGACCCACAATCCCAAGATGAAGGGGAACCTATGGGCTGCCTATAGAAACCTCTAGAAACAACCTATGGGTTGCCTGCCAACTTCCTTGCGGTAGGTCTTGTGCAATCAAAACACTGTGAACGCTGAGTAAAACAAGCCCATTGAAAAAAACCATGCATTTAGAAAACATCTTCCAACACACTCTATCCTGCAAGGAAACGCTATAGTGTATCGACTTCCTGGTTTGCTCATCACCTTCTATCTGCTATTTGAAAAAAAACACGTCTCGACTTCAACAACTGGCAGTATCTCTATCTCTGGACCTGTCTGAACATTTTATTTGCAAACTTTGCAAGCCATCTCTATTTAGGAACGGGTGCGGAAAGCACAGGAGACAATTGCCTCTGGATGGACAAGGCCAAACTGGCGAACATCCGACACACTTGACGTGGCCTGTTTGCATTCTCGAGGCAGCACGTCCGTCAGTGCCGACATTTCTGCACTTTCTGCGATCGTTTCCTGTCCAAACTGCCCATGAACCCAGGAAACCAAGCCAGCACTGGCTTGTACGGTGCTAGCAACTATGGGAAGTAAGGCCTTTCCTTTTCCCTAGGGCCCTAGTGCATATTGACAATTTCGCCGCACTAGAAGCAGATTCAACCACGGTGTTCTTTTGACATCCTTCATGAAATGGTTGCACTAGTGGCTTGCGAAGCCACATCACATTTCTAGTGGGCGAGCTATCCCAACAAGCCTACCTGTGTTAGGCAGGCTTGAAGGGTCAGCATGTTGGTGGATGCTACGCATCTTGTACTGGGAGGTCTGACCTCTCAACTTGAGCACCTCCAACCATCACTCATCATGACATGACTCTTGTGCACAAATGCTGGGAAGAAACGACGTCAAGGACTGCACGGCAAAGTTGAATCCGATGAGCTTCTGACTAAAGGCCTGCCGGTCAGTTGTTGCACAAAAACCTGTAGATGCTACCAACTGCCGATCATCAAATGAAAAGCTCCAGCAGCAACAAAAGTATGAAACACAATAAACTTCAGGAATAGAAGAGATCAACATTGCAAGTACAACAGGCTGCCCAGGCTCATCCTTGTCTCCCGTTCTCCTTCCTCTCGTGTCATCTCTTCTCTTTTCTTATGCATTGCAGGCTCTTCTCCGCATCTCTCAGCAGCCCGATCTTTCTCTATGAAGAAAGGCGTGATTAGTTGCATTCGCCCCTTGTCCCAATTCCCATCTCAAGATGGAATCTCTTTTCAACTGTTCTTATGCACTGTCACCATTGAATTCGAGCAACTGTTTCTCATCTGGGCGACTTTGTGTGCAACTTGCAAAGCATCCTGCCCTGACAAGTCCAAATGCCAGCACCGTTTGTCCAAGCAAAGGCGGCTGTGCGTCTCAACCCTAGAGGTCCACCTTGACTGCGGTCAATAGAAGTTGCCCTAATCACAAGGGATGCAATAAAATGGCCTTTAGGTGATTGCCTCACTCCCTCCTCCCTAGAGACCATCTGTTTCATGAAGTCCACAGGGGCACTCTGATGCTACAGGTGGCGTTTGTCAAACAGTCGTAGTGCTTGAATTTTTATATAGCTCGTCTGTTTGATCGATACCCCACAATGGACATGAATCATAAAGCGTCCTTTATACCCATGCAGCCAGTTGTTCGGGGAGGTCAATAATTATCCATAATTGTCGCATATTATCGAAAGCTTCTCCCCCAAGATCATTGTTCTTGCGTATTATCTATTCTTTCACCTCCTCTTGCTTCTTACAAGCAACTCGATAAACATAAAGTTCCATACTTTTGGACCCATCATGTTGTGCATCATGCCTTCGCAAAGACAATCAAAGAACTACAAACTTCTGGCATGCAAGACCTCGTATGAACCCCATATCTTGCAACAACCTTCTCTTCTGCTGTTTTTCTCTTCTTCTTTCTTCTCATTCCAGCCGCCAGCCTTCAGCCTTCTTTTGGCTTTTGCCCTTCAGCTTCTTTGTGTCAAGAAACCCTTGAACTAGAATTTATCAGGGTTTATGACCCTCATAGCCTCATAGCTTTGTAGTATAGCACTTGGCATATCATATGCCCCCAAAGTTCCGTTCTTCTAACTCCTCCTGGCAAGCTGCCTTCCTTTCTCCGCGCCCATCTCCGGAATAGGAGCAACCTCAAGGACATGGCTCTGGTGCGGCAAAGTTTTCAACTGCTTCCCACTTCGATGCGGTGCGTGACACAGGTCTGAGCATCATGCACACCTTCGAGTTCGGGCTGTCGGAGGTGGCTCAGGTGTCAGCTTGGAAGGAGGCTCGCAAGGCCTTCGTGCAAAGTCACATTGTCACTAGTGACTAGCAAAGCGCTGTTCTATGCCCTTCAAGGTGCGCTGACAGGCACATTGCACGCTTTTTCACACACGACGAACTGCATACACACTGGCAGGGCCGAAGCTCATCTCAACTGTGATTTTTGCAACTCCTTGCGGAGGCTAAAACGGCCCACAAAGACTCAAAGTTCAAAGGGACATCCAAAGCCTAACAAACCTAGGCAAAATCTCAGATCCCTGCCATTGATAAAAATAGGCTGAAGACCCGGAACTCCTTCTCCAAAAAATGGATCCATGGTCCTTATGACTTTGAACTGTGCCAACGGCTCTTGGCTCTGGTTCTCTTGACGAGTCAATGAGGCAAGTAAGGGCATAATAAGGCCAGGTCAGGATCCGCGCTCCGGGTGGGAGACTGAGCACACGCTGCGTGATATCAGCAAGAGTTTCTGGCCTCAAACTGATATGTTGGTTGTGCTAAAGCAGCAACCGAAGAACAGAAAAGCAAAAAACAACTAAGTGACACAAACAGGGACTGTCATGGCAACTCTGTCTAAAATCATCTGAAATCTATCTATTTCGTTGGTAATTCATAACCCATCCCGCACCGTTCCCAACGGGCCTCAGGCATAAAGAAGCTACCCACACAATGTCCCAGGCATGCTGCTCCCATGGCTCTGCCAGGAAACTCTGTAGTTGCAGGTCCACGGGAGCGATGGCGAGCCTCGCACAAAGAGCGATGCCCTTGTTACTATATAATAGCTTCTAGCCACCAGTAGCGATGGCCTCCAACCTAGTAGCTTCTGGCTAGTAGTAGTAATGCCCTTGTTACTAGTAGCTATATGCTAGTAGTGAAGCAATGAGACTGGCTTGTAATGTCTTGTAACCTGCCCAACTTCAGAAACATCTATGGTACAGCTGGGTACCGCCTGCGCAGTTAGCACAAGAATGAGATGTTTTGATGTTTGAGATAGGTTGAGCTGGAGCCATCATCACATAATGTGCTTCAATGATATTCAGATTCAAGCAAGCGTCTCACTGCTGTGGCATTGTTGGACGCAAGTCGCTGTTGCACTTCCAGCGGTTTCATGCAACGGCTCCAATAATTCATAGCCTGATGAAGGTTTTGAAGATTTTTGAGGTGTTTGTAGTTGAACAATGGCACAGCCTAAAACGCTTAAAATAAGTTGCATTCAGAGTCCGAGCGCCTCTGCAACAGCTTAAAAACGGGAATGACAGGGCCGCAACCAGCAGCGCGCGGCCAGTGCCACTGCCAAGGTCCAAGAACGACTCTCCTGAAAAAAGAGAAGACAATAAGGGGGGATATGCAGGTGCAATAAAGCATGTCCAGGAATAGCTCCCTCACACTCTAGCACAAACGCTGTCTGTGATACGCCTGGCTGAGGCTGCGCCACCATCTGCAAAAGGTTGAAGAAAGGCGCAAACTCCACCTCCGCGTATGTGAGCTCCAAGGAACTGACCTGCCCAGCCTCATCAGCAAGGGCTTGTCCATCAACATCTTTGTATGCAGCATGAAAAATGTCGTAGACTCCATGAAGCTCCAAAGGCAGCAAAGTCAGCTCATCTTCAAAACGGAGATGAGCTCTGCATTTAGGTGTGGATGATTCATACGACTCCGACAAAACTTCAAACGATACAAAAGGATGTTCACGAAGTGGAAGGCCACCAACTGCGAGGACTGTGCAGCCCACCCAAACGGCAACCGTTGAACTTGGCCATCTGTGGGCTTGGACACGGCAGCGCCATCCACTGAATTGTTCACTTGCGGTGGACACGGCCACGAACTCTGGTCGATTGTTGTCGTCGCATGAAATACACAAGAAAATGCCAGCATCATTCAGAATGTCTGTGGTTGCAATGTCCAGCACCAGGAAACCACGCTGGTTGGGAGGTACTTGAAGGAAGAGCACTGGTACTTCGGCACTCTCTGTATGCAAGTCCAGCTCAATGTACTCACCGGGACAAAGATCATGAAATAATGGCTGCCCTAGTGACATGTCAATACCTGCACCTGGAGCTGGAGGCACTTGGAGAGGCATGTGAACACAAAGTTCGTCACCTAGTCCAACGACTGCCCACCCCCAAAAACTATCAAACGTCTTCAATTCCGAAGCCAAGTTGAGTGGAACAACGAAACCCTCGGCCATTTGTGACTCCAAGTCTGAAGCAGGAATCGCCAGCACATCATCATAGAGTTCTTTCAGGGCATCTTTGCCAATCTTGGCACGTTCTTGCGCAAGGACGTGAAACCATAGCCGGTTGGCTTCTTCCGAGCCACGAACCTTGTATTTTGCTTCGAACCAATCCAAACCACCACAATTGATGTAATGCAATATAGAGGCTGCACCTGGGTGACACACCACAGTCTGCAGTCCTAGTCCATGCCAGCGGTGAACTCTGGGTACAGCATCGTTGAGGGCATTCACACGAACAGCAACTTTGCCTCGCATATATCCATCAAAGTAGGAGCAAGTGCTACCACCACTTCTTTTCTTGAAATTGTATTGCTCAGACAAGCGTGCGTTGTGCCTCTGCCAGAATAGCAGTGTCTTTTCGCCAGTCCCTTCGGGATGGTCGAGAACCTGTGGCTCCTCATCATGGTTGGGAAACCTTCGGCACATGAATGGCAGCTTAAGGACAGGAGAGATTTTGAAGTGCTGGATGTGCTCGAACCAAGTTGCTCCACCACTTTTGTCGGCCTCTGCAACAATGGCCTCGTGATTTATGTACACAATCTGGGAGATGTCCCCAACAGCACTGAAGTGTTCCGCCACACCTGAGGAGCCGCCTGGGGAGCTGAAGCAAACGGCTTCATCAAGATCCAAGTTGCAGAGGAGCCACTCCGCACAGCCACTGGCTCGGCAATATTCAGTAGCCGTGGCACAGTTCAAGATCTGCTTCCTCGAGTCAAATCGTGGTAAAGTAAAAACAATTCCCTTGCCTTGCAAGTGTCAGTTTCGGACTTGACTTACTACAGTATACTGCCTCTGACCAACCTCAATGCTTTGACCTCCACAACGGGGGAAGCGATGCATTAAAAATTGGGACCATGGAACACCGTGTGTGGGAAACATGCAGCCTGCCAGCCTAGATTCGCTGATAATTCGGAGCCACTTTGGCTACCGAATTCCTCCCACAAAGGTCCATGCTCACGCCAGGCGGCTTGCATTTGTGAGCAACCAACGAAGCGAACTAATTCCCCCATGCCGTGACCCATGTCAGCCTCCAATGTGTTGATCAAGCTCATCAATGCCTCTTCTTTGCTTAAATCAGGCTCATCCAAGAACAGAATGATTGGAGCAAAGCCAATTGCGGTATGGTGCCGAACCCAGGTCACTGTTGTCTCCAAAACACTAGGCCATGGATAGCCACTAAGGCGCAAGGTTGATGAAATAGCACATCGAGCTGTATGAGCTGCGCCAGTTGTCCCGGGTGCATCGCAAGCTCCCACGGGCACCCAGGCCTCAATGACCTCATGGTTCTCAGCTTTGATCTGTCCGATCTTTGCACCTTCTCCATGTGGGTTTAGGACAGCAAGATCTCGAAACCCAGCACTGCAAGCAGCATCACCCAAGGTGACCTTGATCTCGTTCACCAATTCCATTATTTCTGAAAGACCTTTCACAATCATCGGTCAGGTCTCGAAGAAACATCACATCAAGTGTCAAGGCCGCTGATCCTACACGATCCTGCTACCAGTATGGGGAAGCCGAGTTACATTCATTGGCACAACTCATTCTCTGATTCAGCCCAGACCGAGCTTCAGCAACACTGGAATTCGCAGATTCCAGTGCAGCAAGCCCCAGATCCTGCCAAACAACTTTCAACAATGTGACAATGCAACTATGATTTATTAATGGTGTGGTGGCCTGACGCACTCGCAAATGTTGCACACTCTGGTCCTGAGTCAGGCACATGCCTTGTGGCTATCCTGTCGAAAAGCATGGACTTAAACAATGCTACGCCAAAATATCCCATGATCTGCAATCTGGGAGCCAACAATCCAGCTTCTGCTCGAAGGTCTGCGATGCGCTGTCGCAGGGATGCATTTTCTCGCTGAGGTGGATCGGGCTGGTCGTTTGGTTTGTACCGTGCCTGTAGCACACGTGAATGAATCGACGGCTTCCACTCGCATTGAGTGAAACTAATCTAGGCGAGCAGCTTCCTTTGGTGGACTGGTAGCAGGTGAAGTAGGAGAAGTGGGTGACGTGTGTGCAGAGCCCTGCCCAACCAACCCAACCAACATGTCTAAATAACTTGCAGCCATCGTTGCACATGAGATAGAGTACCATAACATTACATATATATAGAATATAGAGAGAGCATAGTATAGTACAATTTCATTATTTTTCCGGAAGTTTGTCCATTCCACTTAAGCCGCTGAAGCTCTGTTAAGAACAGTGACCTCTGCTGGACGTCGTGGTGGGGGAACGAAGACTGGAAGCAGTGGCCGGAGATCTGATGCGGGCACATCTATCTCAGTTGATCCATCAAAATACTCCAGATCGGCCAACCTGGCAATGCAACATCACGTCTCATGCTCCTGACTCTGGCCCACGCGAGGGTGTTCTATCACATTGCTGCACAGCTGCCTTCCATCAGTTTTCGACACTCTGCCGCGGATCCAAATATTGCCTGAAGCTGATGTGTATGATGGCTGTTAGTCCGAGTTCCTTTCGAGGCATTCTGACTAGAACATCATCTTATGGCTGAGTAGGGACTTGGAGTTTGATGCCTATGTCACCCTAAATCTAGCCAAAATGCCGATGTCATCTAACTCTCGCTCCACGTCAGCACCCTCCACCAGCCAAGCTGTTGAAAAGGCATCTGTCATACTGTTGTACCGGCCACCATATCATTGGCATAAGCAAGGGTCGTGGGACAAGACACTGGTTCTGAAGCAGCCCATGCCATGCAAATAACTTTCTGAGTTGCAATTCTCTCGCCCTCTCCCCCTCTCTCTCTCTGTCACTAGCCGCTATCCCCACTCTGAATTGTTCCAAGACTCAAGTCAAGCTGCAACATCAAAGAAACATGAATCATGCAGTCCTGCTTCTGATACAAACCACGTGAAGTGCGTGCTGACGGCTACAGTCGCAATGTCAGTGCATGTAAAAGTCAGCAACAAATTTGGCGTAAACAGCTCAGCTCTTTGCAGTGAAAAGGCAGCCCTCTGGGCATGGCATAGTCGTTCGCACGTGCATACGGGAACCTTTGCTGGCACATCATTGCACACACGGCATCATAGCTGCAAGTCAGCGTCGACACATCTTACTGTTGCTCGGGGCTTCGCAACAAATCCCCCAACATCTTCTTGCAGCGGCATCCGTGCACACCACCTGGTGAAGTGTGACAATCAGTGCAACATCATTTATGGCACTCTGCTAAAATACTCATCTCGTCCTTATATAGGTCTCTCAGAATCAAGCGCGCCAGTTCCAGGAAGTCGTGCATAAACCAGCGCAGAGGAGACAAACACAATGTGAGGAACAATCCAGGATGCCTGTGGCTGACGGCTCATGCAATGAAATTCATATAAACATAGCTAATTATTATGATTTGGGGAGATCACAAAATCACTATTCAGAGCTGAGTCGGTGCTTGCAGCAATGCAGCACAGGAAAGTATGCGAAGTCCACGGCACAACAAAGAAACCAAAGTTGCACACAACACGGGTTCTCCTCAGGAGCGTTGAGTCGAGGAGTCACTAGCATTCCACGTGGTGTCACCTGAGGTCGCTAAACTTGTTGAGAGAAAACTCGTCCGCATATGTCCGCATCCTCTTGTCCAGCTCCGTTTTGTCATCATCTGCTGCTGAAGGGCTCCAGTGGCATTTGGATACACATCACGGCCTCAGCGGATGTGCAACATGAATCACGGGAAATGAACCGCGCATCAAGTTTATTCTATTTGGGCGCCGGCTTGCACACAGGCCAAAACGGAGAAAAAGCAAAGAGCCGTCCTCAAACGAAGGCACAGTACAAAGTGCTGCTCTGGACCCTCACTGACTGAATGACTTCATTGAGCAAAGCAAACAATAATATGTCCTCACCGCTTAAAGTTGATGTCTCCTCAGCCTCAGGAACAAACCAAAGCAAAATTGAATGAATATTGAGTACTTGAGGCACATTTAAAAGATTCTGAAACATCTAGGTCTAAGTTAAGTTGTGTGGTTTTCGGGTTGAACTCTGCCCTTCGTTCTTCTCTGCCGTTCAAAATGGGATTCTGATGAACACTGGAAGTCGCATGGTCACGTGGCAATGGTTGAAGCCGGCCACTTGCAGAAACATAGCCTGTGAAATTCCAAACAAACAAGGGAATTGTCGTGCTGGCGGCAACCCCTGAGATAACGAATTGTGAACACCAGCAGGACAAACACGGCACTGTTATCTAATAACAAAAGTAGAGGTAGAAGAAGTAGCAGCAGCACCAGCAGCGGTAGTAGTAGTACTAGCAGTAGCAGTAGCAGTAGTAGTAGTAGCAGTAGTAGTAGCAGTAGGAGTAGGAGGAGTAGTAGTAGCAGTGGGAGTAGGAGGAGTAGTAGTAGTGGCAGTAGTAGTAGCAGTAGGAGTAGGAGGAGGAGTAGTTGTAGTAGCAGTAGGAGTAGGAGGAGGAGTAGTAGTAGTAGCAATAGGAGTAGGAGTAGGAGTAGTAGGAGGAGTAGTAGTAGTAGTAGTAATAGTAACTGCAGTAGCCGTGCTAGGGCTTTCTGCAGCACACGAGCGGCCAACCGCCGCGAGGGTAGTGCTATCAAGGATAGCGTTGGTGGAGGATCCTGCTGCGGGCTTTGGCAAGCTCAACTGTCAAAAGCTCAGAGCCGGGATTGAAAGGCCAAGCTACATTAGCCAGCAATGCAACGGGCCTGGCAAGTTGGTAGGTGTGGTGCGAAGTGCTCTGCATTGCCACTCGCGCAACCGGTTGCGTTCGAGTTCGGCTGCGTCACAAAAGTGGCAAGGCTGAACTGGCTGTGAAGTGCCGTTAGTGAAAGTGTGCTTGAGTCGTTCAGTGGCGGATGTATTTGGCCAGGATAATATGTGGTTTGTCCTGTGGATCAGAGCTGCGGCCTCGAGGGCTTGTGCTGCTCTGTTACTGGTTTTGTGAAGTTGGTTCCATTGCAGGCCCGCCAGGCATCTCGCAATTGTGTCGAATCCTAGTTAGCAAGATGGGAGGGGAAAAAACTGTGTTTGACAAAATGTTCCCACACCATGAATAGTTTAATGGGGGAATAACAAACAAAATCGCCCGGTGTGCTTTTTTGTTTACTTTTCTATTGTTCTGCTTTTGCTCCCCTTTAGAAATCCTTCTCCTGAGGTTTGCTTGATTCATGGAATTCTGAACTGGAAATCGTTTTTAAACAACGCTTATTAAAACTCAACGATTTCATTGCCCCAAACAATTTTGCAAGGGGGTAGTGCACGAGCCTAGGGGAAGTCAATAATAAGAATTGTAAATTTGGATCCCTAGGAAAATGTAAAATAACAAAGCGTCCGTGATGATACAGGAACAAGGAAGAAAGGAGGAAGGAGGAAGGTGGAGTGGTCAAGCGACAGGTTGTGCCGCGTGTCTTTGGCCTCAGTGTCAGCCCACGCACGCAAAAACGACAAATGAAAGGACATGAAAGAAAAACATGAAAGAAGGCATGCGATGTAGGCCGAGGCAATGAAGGGGAAACCACGTGACCAGGGACAAACACATGAACCAAACCATGCCAAACCTCGTTAAGAAAACCTGGGGCGCCGGTCAGCCTGGTTTGAAGTTTGAAGATTACTTAAATGCGTACTGTACGTGCGCGTTAAGGGCCAAACAAATGTGCGTGCAAAAAAAGGGAAAGGATGAGATGGAGAGACATGAAGACGGAGGGACGTGAAAGCAAAGCAGAAAAAATACGTACTTGCGAATGAAAGGGTCCGGGAAACCAAATAGATGGGAAAAAGAAGAAAAACAAAAACCTGGATGGCCGTGCATCGTTTGGTACGGTATGTTTGTGTGTGTGTGCTTTGACTAACCGACAGGCTCCCTCTGATTCCAAGGGCTCCACACACAAACACACATGTGAGCACACATATGTGAGCAACCACATGAAAGCACCCATATGAGAACGTACGCATGAGAAGCACAAACCCAAACAAAAATTGGACGTTATTCGGGGGTGATATTGTTCAAGATGTGGACTTTACTGGGCTGGCCCCTTTTTAGAACTGTTCTTTGCAATTGTATATATATATATATTCATATATATATACATATGGGTGTTGGTCTAAATTCCATTATCTGGGATCCGTCATTCTTAGGCAAACTTTCGCCAAGCTGTAGCCAAACTTTCGCCTGTCTGTGTTACATCTTTTGCCGAAGTATATTGTATTTATGTGTGCCATGTGTGTTGTATGATGGATATCAATTTTGTTCATGTCAACGGCTTCTTCTTTACTGGCAAATACAAAACAAAGACTTCACTGTTGGTCAGCATATGTGTCTTCTACTTATATAACTGTTGACACCCGGCCACCCTGTACGTGTCTTTTGTTTCTCCTGGGTGTCAGCAAGAATAAAAATAGCAAGAATCACTGTAGCAGCCGGTCACTCAGACTTCCCCATAATGGGCTGGGGGTCAGATGTGGCAGGGTCAACTTTCGCCAATCTTGAGCTGAACTTTCGCCAAACTATCGCCTTTTGCGGGGTAGAGTTTTGTGGCAAAGCCGCCCCCCCGAAGCAGGAGCAGGAGCAGTAGTAGTAGCAGTAGTAGTAGCAGTAGTAGTAGTAGTAGCAACAGCAGCAGAAAGAACATCTTTAACCATATCCATCGCCAAAAAAAATACGTTCGCGAACTCGATAAACATACTTGAGAGAGGAGGGGGTGAACGAAAGGTAGCAGGCAATCACAAGTAACCCTGGTAGAAGTCCATGACGGCGTGAACCGGCGCAGGGGGGATTTGATCCAGGGGGGGGGTGGCCCCCCCCCGACGAACAGAATCAACTCTTACAGGACCAAACTCAATGCACAATCCCAACTCCTGATTTTAATACATTTTTGCTAAAGCAAGGAGAACTCAGGTAGCTCAAGCTACCTTTCGTGATTTCGCCAAATGAGGTTTTGACATGTTCCAGGGTCATCGTAGTCAACGCTATGTATTAGGACCTTTTTTTATCCACAACCATATATGTATACAACATGTTTAAAGGGATTTCATAAAGAGCTACAGTAACACGTGGAATCTGGTGGAGTGGGCAGCTTTGGAGAAGAAAGGAACAAGAAATCAGGACGGTTGTAAAGAAAAGATTGTCGGCCAACAATTGTAGTAGACATTGTTACATTATTCTGAGGGGTGATATTATTCAAGATTTGGCTTTAATATGCTTTAATGTTCAAACCCAGCCCGTTGTGAGAACCCTAAGTGCGACCACAGTGTTTGGGGAACAAAGCCCTGTTTTCAATGCAAAAAAATCCCACATCATCTTGTCTGTCCACTTGCTGTACATCTGACCCTCAATCCGTCATGCGCTAAGTTCAAGGCACACGCCAAGTTGATAGTCCGGGGCGTGTAAGGCCTAGCAGCACGCCATTAACATGAGCTCATTTGCTCCTGAAAATCTTTGCTACTGCTACTCACCCATGACCCATGCCTGCTTGAATGTGCTGGGGGCACTCTGTTCAAGGTGGCCATGCCGCCGGGGGCAGAATCTCAAGGCAAGCATACGCCAACTTCCCTATGGTCAAGCACAGGCAATTTACAGTGATTTTGCATCATCAAGTTGAATCAAGTTATTATAGTTTAAAGTGCTTCTTCTAGTGCTTCTCTCTCATCCAATTAGTTGACCGTCCAGTGACTGTTTGCCTCCTTTCAGGCTGGATCTGAGAACTTTCACATTTGCGAGCAGAATTGAGGCCAATCTCAGGCTGAAACAGCCACATGTGCCGTAGCCCAATTCAGCTTCCCTTGCATTTAGTTGCACCAGCACAGGGTCCTGAGCAACAAATATCAAATATGATGTCCTTTTGTAGATCTGACATGGTTGCCGTTGCTGCTACTACTGCGAATGGGCACAGCATGGGCAACTACACCGCAGAGTGCCACTGGAAACGGCGACTCACGTTATGAACTATAGACTATATATAGTTTCTCTCAAGATGGGTGAAGCCGGCGCAAAGAACAACTCCATACAATCTGTAGCGACTCTATTAGGTTGGAGGCCATCGCTATTAGGTTGGAGGCCATGGCTATTAGGAGGGCGGCTATCGCTTTTATTAGGCTCTCTCTCTCTAACTCTCTCTCTCAAGTTGTGAGACATAGGAGGCGCCTTGGGCAGCTCACGGGGCTGCCTTGGCTACAAGGTGGTGCTCACAGCTGGTGGAGCTTAAAGGACCCCCCCACAAAGAGAAACAACTTCACGGCTTAGGTATTATATAATTGGCTGTAATCTGCTGCTGCTGCTGCTGCTGCTAGATTTGCTAGATTCTGCTCCAAGCACCCTTTGATTTGAAGTTGTCTGGCATTCAGGTTTGGTGGCGAGAGCCTTTTTGCAACTCCAGTTGCAGTTCTGCAGCAAAAAGTCTCAGTTCACCTGCATTTGCACCTGCCAAACCTGCCATGCAAGTGCACAACTTTAAATATGCAAATCTGTACTTAGCATGTCCTTCATAGCTGGCCTACAGACTGCCAGTCCAGTTCAAGGCGGGCCTCCCAACATGCTAATCGAATATCGAACAAAGAACACTGTTACACAGCAACATTGATTGCATCTGATTTTCTTCGGAACTGTTTGAGTGCCACAACGCACTGCCCCTCACACTCTTCAATTCGTTCAATGTCACTTGCCTCTAGCACAAAGCCGGGGTCAGCGGAATCTTGAGCGCAGTCCTCCAAAGCCTGTCCGATTCGTATTAGCCTTCTGCATCTTCTGCCTTTTGTGCACAGTGCATGCTGGCCTTGGCCAGCATTGTGACGTCAATGCTGTCAAGGGGCGAGGTTAGCAGAACAAGGTTCTTAGCCTTTCCAAGAGATTTGCACGGTTACTGTACTTTGCACAGCACTGCCATGCTGCACCACTTTGGCAGGGATACATTTTCCATTATTTTCCTCCGATCCTGAGATAGGCTGAAGCACTCAGCCAAAACTGCAAGCACTGAGTCAAGGCACCCCAGTATTTTGTACAAGTGCCCAACTTTGACGGTCTTTGTCTGGCTTCAAACGCTTTTCTTTACAATACCCTTGCAGCCTTTGCGGCTAGTTCGTTGGTCACTTGTAGAAACCGGATCCGCTCAGAAGGTCTCAGAAGACGATGTCAGCGTCCTTTTTCTGCAAAATGCTTGGTGCCTCAGCTGGCACCCAAGCGCATCGCTTCTATCAGCAAGGACACTACTAGGGGCGCTCCTGGCCATACTACTAGGAACAAGAAGCTACTAGGAGCAAAGGGCATCGCTACTAGGAGCAAGAAGCTATGTCATTTCCTTGTTTATCTTTTTTCTGTCCCATATGCACAGTCTTTGCACACTCCCTGGCTCTTGATGTCGCCGGTGACTTGCTTTTATATCGCTCATCGTGCTGGTTCCAAACTAGACTCAAAGGGCACGCCACCAAAAGCCCAGCTGCATCAATGGCTGCCTCAGCTGTTTCTGAGCCCTGGGAAATTTATATAATTCATGCCGAGTATGAAGTCTCAGTCCCTTGAACTTTGGCTCGGGCTTCGTTCTTTTCGGCTTGTTCCTTTTCCTTGGCCTGCGGATAGTCAGGCAACAAGCAACCTGCAAGAGCTAAGCGAGAGCGGTTGATGAGCTGAGGCCAAGTTAAGTTTCGCACTAGCTTCACCTTTTTCTTTTCCACAACCTTTTTGACTCTGAAGAACTCCTCTCGTGCCTGGCAGGAATTGAGGAACACTTTGACGCCACAGACCAATATGGTCGGCCTGCTCATCCATCTCCTGGGTAATGTAGTGAATGATGTCCTGTGACGCGTGGCGCAAACAACTCGGAAACTTATGAAATCAACACCGCCCGCGCCTCAATCCTGGGGATCAGGACGTACTCCAAAGCATTCACCTATATAACTAGATTATGGAGTGTGTAAATCTATAGATGTCCCAGCATTGCATGTCATGTCTTCAGCTGCAGTTCTTCAGTGCTCATGCTATCTCAGCTGCGCCATGCTTGCAATCTGCTGCCATTAATTTTATGTTGCACAAATGCTCACGTCCAAGCAACTCGTCGGCTAGTCATCTTGATTTCCTCGTCAAGGGTGTGGAAAGCTGTCTGCAAAGAAGCTAGCTGCACGATGCATTCCCTCAGGGTCACGAATCGACTGCCAAATCTGCTATGCTCATCTCTGGTAAATGCAATCAGCCAAAACAACGTCTCCACTTATTGAAAGAGGCTGCCAATTTGCTACAAAGGCGCACAGCTTTCAGGTAGGTGTCGCGAGTTGCATTCAGGACAGCACCACCAGATCCCACTCCCATTGTATGTGCCTAAACCCAACACGCAAACACAACACATGGAAAATGATGGAGAATGGCCTGGAAGTGATCACTTTCGAATGATCATTGCATCTTGAAGTGGAAACAAGTCTTTGAATGTCTTTTATAGTCTTTTCTTTTTTGGGGGGGCAACGCCTGGCACGGAGATTTCTAAAGGCCAACCAATGAAGGAACCCAATCACATCTATTGTCTTTCTCTCTCTCTCTCTCTCTCTCTCTCGGGAGTCATGTGATACTATGATGCAGAAAGTGTCAGTCTTTGTGCCAAGGCTCTATCGCTTCCTGCGAGGCATTCCGGAGCACTTTGAACACTGGGATGGACACCTTGGCTTGAAAAAGGAACCTGAAAGGCTTCTCTTTTTCCAAATTTTACTAAGTGACTGACTTACACACTACTCCTTGCATTTGCGTCTTTTTTTGGGGTTATCCTCTGAGAACAGATCGCCCGCAACGTTGTCGGGGTACATCTTGGTTGTCACCGAGGGCTTCTTCGCCTTAATGTCTCCAAGGCATTCCCTTGCTCAGTCTTGCTCCACTAAATTGTCAACAGCAAAAAGCATAACTCAGCCGTGCACCCTTTCAACGATGGAGCTAGCAATGTCATCCCCAGAGCTGGCATAGTGAGCTTTGGCCAGTGCAAATGCACCATCCTTCATGCAAACATTATAAATTAAATTATATAATACAAATTAGGGGCATGAAAGGACTTCTACATTCACAAATTCACAAACATGCAACGAACCCCGTCTAGCTGGCACATCTTACAGTAAGTCATTTGTCCTTGAGGCTCTCTCCGACCTTAAGCTTGGTGTCTACAATATCCTTGCATGCACATTCAACGGGGTCTTTTGTTTGGACAGTGCTGCAGAAAGGTGCAGTCCTTGAGAAGCGCCTCAGTGAGCCACGATACCAGGTCCATACTTAACACACAAAAGAAGTCATATAATATTATAGACTCCCTTAATTCAAAGCCCAAGCATTGTGCGTGCAGCCTGCGTCTGTCACCAAGTCACTTGAAACCGAGATTTGAGGGCATCCCTTTTCTTCTTCAGCAACTTGAAACCTCTGCAAACCAATTTGAAGATACGGGCAAATCAAAAAGCAAAAAGCAGTACAAGAGGGTGATAGAGAGTGATTCTGAAAACTCATTCGAGGCATATAACAAGCATCAACACTTCCCCCCCCCCCTCTCTCTCTCTCTCTCTCTTGATCCCTGCCTTTGGAAGCTCCTCCTAGTCGCGCCTTGAAGGTCCTTGGCTTGGTCATGGTCGCCCAAGTTCCAAAAGGAAAACAAAGGAAAACATGTTATGACAAAAAACATCGTGCGCCGAGTCCTGATCTTTTCCATGTCTAACACTGTTGGACCTTCAGTCTGCCTTTCTGGAATAAAGAGCATATGGAAGTCAAGATTAACATGGCTCCCTTCCAACACGCTCTGATGCACGTATCTTCCATTTGGCCTCCAGCTCAGCTACTTACTCTTACTGGTGAATGACTTCCCCTACCAGCCAAATGCCCCCGCGGCAGTGGAAATAATGAAAGATTGAGGCTTTCGGATTAGCGGCTGCAGCGTCATGCGGTTCGCCGCTGGCCGCTGTCCCCCGGCGGATGACATGGCCTGAGAATTCACAATGCGACAAACAACACCTGGCAATATCATGCAATGTCTCATCTCTATAATGCTTTTGCAGCAGCAGGGATTGCATCTAAGAATCTAGGCATTCCCTTTGAGCAAGCAAACTGCAGCAAACCCCAAGCTCTGAGCCGCACCCGCTATGCGTTGCTTCTCCACTCTTCTTTGGAACCAAAGACTTCCCGCGGCCGCGCGCAACATTTTATCATGCAAAGATCCCATTTGAGCTATTTGACTAAATGTAAATTGAGGGCATGCTTGTCATGAGAGCACACATGCATTCACCACATATCAGAATGAAGGGCGTGCCTGAGCTTGTGCTTGCGCCTCCCAAACACGATCACTAAGTAATTCTCACACAATCGAAAAAGTACCACCACCATCTTGTACCCTAAGAATGCAGTGTACAGGGCCGAGGCGTGAGAGCTTGCAAACCCAAGGACATGGAAAGCAACGCTTCAAGAGCAAATGGATAGAGTACAAATAACTACACATGCTGCACCAGTAAAAAACGGTGCACCTCCACAGAAGATGCAAATGCCTCCCACAACATGGGGCCCACCCCTCTGTGTCAATGTCTCAAACGTTTTTCCAATAGTTTTCCATAGTTGCTCACACTAGCATGGGCCGGCCTTCTGTGCAGTTGCTAAGTCCAAACCAAGTTCTCGCCTGAAGATCAAGGGTTGCAAACTCTGTTCAAAGCGTTCTTATCTTTCTTTTCTTATCTTCTGGCATCATCCAAGGCACACTGCGAAATACTCAAATTCAAGAGCCGTCATGGCACCTGGCCCAGTGGTAGGCACAGGAAATTGTAAAGGAGCATGTGAAATCATGTGAAATCGCCTCCACGCCAACGAAGCTTGCGTGCCTGGCACGTGCCATATTGAAATTCAAAAAAATGAAGCTGCTTTTGCAATGCAACTCGGCGATCATAGAAATTGAGGAATTGAAGCTGAATTCACCAGTTTGATTTTACAATAAGAGGCTTGAACATCCAACTTCTCCGAAACCATTCTTGTTGGCCGTCATGTTCTGGAACGATTCACTCCTCCTAAAAGTCTATGGCAGAAACCTGAGGGCACAGGACAACAGGCATCTTCCCAAACATATTTCATTCAAGGTGGAGTCCCGCACTTTTGGCAAATTGCCTACATGTAGCTTTCTGCTGCTTCATTTTTGCCAGAAATTCATTAGCACCCCCCCGCGCAACTGGCATCTAGATCAAAAGACAAACATTGATCAAAAAACAAACAGTATCAAAAATAGAAGAACATTATAAATACACACATTCATATACAGTAATAATCCTGAGTAGGTCCCCTGGTCCATTGGTCCCCTTGTGGTTCGGTGCCCTCGTCTATTGGTCCCCTAGTCCTTTTGTCCCCTGGTCCCTTTCCTGGTCCGCCGGCCTCGCGGTTCATTGGTCAATATTGGTCAAAAGCACGAGGTTTGCGAAAACAAAGCGCTACCCGGTTACCTTGGTCCTTGCTTCACTTTCTGAGTGCCCTTAATTGATGAGACAATGGGGTGTGTAGTTTTCGATAGTGATCTATTTTGTGGTACCTTCTGAGTCTAATGGCTTTTGATGTTTGGTTCGCTCTGGGGGGAGGCGCTGCGCCCTCCCCCCAATCCCCCTCCAGCGCCACGAAATCTGCACTTCTTTTGCCAATGCGCTGGGCCTACCACGACAGATTTTCTAAAGGTCACCCAGGCACCCATCGCTCACACAAAATATTGCACGCACCGGCCTAAGTCATTTTGGTTTTCTGTTGCAAGCGGTTGCAAGCATCCTTTCGTTGTCCTGTGGTGGATGAGCCCCTCATTGACTGGGCAACAGTGTGTGTGGTTTTCGATGATTATGTATATATTTTGTGGTGCCTTCAGCGTCTGGTGGCTTTTGTAGTGTGCAACCCCGCTCCGGTGCCACGAAATCTGCACTACTTTGGCCAATGCACTGGGCCTGCCACGGCCACCTCATCGCATATCCACACCAAATATTGCACACCCTGGCCTAAGTTTTTTGATTTTGAATATGTGTTGCAAACACCCTTTCATGATCCTCTGGTCGCCCGCCCTGCTGCTGTTGTCCTTTCCCTAGTTTCTTTTTCCTTTCGTTGCTCACTGGGAATATGTTTCTCGTGATTCCTTTTTTTTGATCCCCGTTGAATATCCCGTTGAATATTTTGTGTTTTAATGCTGTACCTTTTTTTTGATCCCTCACACCCCGGCGCTTTCCATTGGGCCAGAAGGGTCTTGTTCCTGCTCTGATCAATGTCTCAACTTTCAGAGGGGTACCCTCTCAATCATATAACAACTCAGTAGGGCGCCCTGGTTAAGTTGCTAATGTCGGGTGCATCACAGTTTTTATCACATCGAGTGTCATTGTGTTAAAATTTGACATAATGTTAATGTTGATGCTGAAGTACATGTTATACATACTTGACATCTTATGCAATGCTACGCTGAGCGTGTGATTTGAGGAACACAAAATTGGATGCTACGGAGGAAGATGTCGTCAAACATGCATGGTCAGCAGCATCGGCATACCTGGATCTTGAGCCCATGGCACCTGCACACCGCACATTGCTTGGCTGAAATGAGTCAACGCACTCAGAAGATCCTGCCAATAGATCGGCCAGGCGCATGCAGCCGGTGGCTACCTGCCAAAGTTGAGTTTGCATAGGATATATTGACTGATCATTGCTGATCTAGTCTACGCGTGGAAAACGGAGAATAGGCGGAACACGCTGATGTTCTTTACCTGCACTCCTCTTCGCATGTGCAACGCTGGCCCTCTGAGGCGTATCCCTCGGGCACAAAGCCTACCTACGATCCTACAAGATTTTTAGCGACTCTAGCGCTAAGCCTACTTATTGCGCTGCCTGTACAAAAGTGCAGCCGACAAAGGCGGGACGTTCAACCAAAGATGAAGCACCCGCAAGAAAAAGAATTCAAGTAAGACCAACTGGCTCACAAAGGATCCATGCTACAGACGCATTGATCAGAATGGGAACCATTTGGCAACACCTTTGCCTTTCTGAGGCTTCTGGACCTGACGGGCATATGTCTTAAAATTGGCAGGCTGCCGCAATTAGCCCAAGGCCGGAACTCGTGCCATCTCGAAGGGCCTATGCAGCTCCGAGCAGGCCTTGATCGAATGCAATCACATGAAACTTGAAACACAACCAACCAGGATAATTCCCACAACACCCCGGCCAACCAAGCAACACGCTTGCAATATCTGGCAATCAAGGTTTGCAAGTGGCACGGTTTGGGGGTGGTGCCAGTCAAAATGTTGAATGACAACGTTGGTGTGGGAGTAAGGAAGGTTGAACACTGCCATATGATTCGCTCTGATGTGCAGCTTGAGCGCGAAGGCCAGGTCTGGGCTGTGGAGAGCTTGGTGTGGCCTGGGCATTTTCCCGCTTGCACGGTGCCTTGCCCTCCGATTTTGCTACACATGAACGTTAGGGAACCATGAAGAACATGTAAGAACATGATCAAACGTTCACAGTGATCTGGCACAATTATTTACAAGCAAACTAACATGAAATAACAGATTGCAGTTGAACGAGGCCGTTTCTCGATGCGGGCCAATGCTCAGCTCACATGGGTCTGTTCTCTCCTGGTGAACCTGCAAGACAACTGTCCAGGCAATTCCACCTTCCTGTACAGTGGTGACCCCAAAATCAAAGCAACCAACCCTGAGTTCTAGAGCTTTGGTGCCATGTGGCAACCAAGCAATCCGCGACCGGCCCACTGTTGAGGTATCAGTTCAAGCTCTGTTCGAACAGGCGGCTCACCACCTGAAATCAAAGAACAAACGTTCCAGGGGTACATAGTGTGACACTCCCATGCCGCAAACCCAGCGATCTGAGAGGTGGACGCAGTACGACCACGCTGATGGCATTTCCAACATTTTTGGGCACCAATTCACGGATGGCATTGAAGCATGCGTTCAAATCTCCTGTGTCCTGCAATGGTACGACAAAGCTACTGCACTCTACCACAAGCTGCCCGGCATGCACCAGTTTTGCAACTTTCAAGTCGCGCAGTCAGTAAGAGCACAAGATGCTCCTGAATGGAGACAGGTCCAAAACGGCAAATTTGGTCGCCAACGCGGAGGCCAGCTGTCTCTGCTGGCGAGGCCATGCTAACCTCATCAATTGTTGCCTCAGATTTAGGCTTGCAGCCCACAACTTTTCAAGTCCAAGGAACAGTGACTTATGCTATATAGATTGTTGCAATGACAATTTCACACTGTGAGCGTGTTTCTGCCAGATACGAATGGCGTGGTCAGTTTCACCTGGAGGAGGACATTGTCAGGTGACACTTCCTCCTCGTCCATCTTTGTGTCAGGTGGGCTCGCACGAGGCACGTCCACTTTTGTCGTCGCGTGGATCGCTAAGATTGCCTGACACAAGGAGTCGCCCGGGACCTTTCAGAACTCTGCGCCACAACACACTGCAAGTGGTCAAACCTCGGCAAATCCCATTCAAATTGCTCAAAGGCATGGCCTCTTCTATCTTTCTCATGACCTCCTGGTGATCTGTCTGGGCGCAAGCATACTTGTTCCGAGCTTGCCGGACAGCATAGAGGTCAATGTCACCTCTGGGGAAGCCCTCGTCGTCTACAAGAGGACCTGCTACGCCAGGCATGCCTCAGCACACTTTTGGCCAACATCAACATCGCTTCTAGGTTCCCAGTTTATCAACAGCCCTATGTCATAGTATGATCCTGAAATAAAGATTTCAGTTGCAGAAGACAGTTGGGGCCAATCTATCTCGCCCACCCAGCTCTCAAACACTAATCTCAGCGCAACTCGCTTTCTGAATCCGGACTTGGTCTGAAAAACGAACACACACAGAGATTCATTTTATATATATATATTGTTAATTTGTTATACAAAATATAAACGACAGCAAAACTGCTGAGGCATCATGAAGCGCAGCTTGCAACGTGAAAGGGCAATTCTACCATTTGCATCTTTTTGCACGTCATCACTCGACTTTAAAGTGCATTCGAGATTCCATCTTCTGTCAAGTACTCGTATAAATGCTTTATCTCTCCTTCCAATCTGTTCTTCTCCTGCTCTAGCTTTCGGAATTCTTCCACTGCCGCTGGGTCCATCGCGTGAGCAAAATCCAGTGACTGCTATTGGTATTATAAGGATTGTTACTCTTTCATGTCCTCAACAAACATTTCTAAGGTGCACCTGCCATTGCAACAATCGCCTGTTCTTAGCTTCAAAATGCTTCAAGCACTTGAGATCAACTGCATCCGAAATCTGGTTTGAGCAGTTGACATGAAAGAAATAGAAAGCCAGACCTTCGTGCGAGTGACAAACAACTACTCCAAATGGTCACCTCGTACGACTCATTTCATCTCATTTCTACGTCAGATTCGCAGGCCACTCTCATTTTGCAACAACGCGCGCCTCGTGGTTAACGCGCTGGTGCCGAATGGGCGTGGAGAAGGAGGCATAACATTCCCTTCACCACTGGTGGTGACCGCATGCCGCCCCTGTGTGCCTTCACTTTGCAGTTTCAGCATGGGGGTGCTGCACCACTGATGTGCCGGTGTAGTAAAGATGTGAAAGGAGGAAAACTAGTGGGTTGCATGGCTGTGGCACAGTGGACACAGGTCTGGAATCGTGGTCTCGTGCAAAAAAAGCCCCATTGGAAACTGCTGGTGAAATGTCAAGACACTTAGACTCTAAGACTCAAATTTAAGTCCGCTCTGAGTTCATAGCACTTCAGAGATGCTCAGTCTGAAAGATCCTCCAGCATATCATCTTGCTCTGACTCGTCAGGAAGACTTGGAAGGCTTTTCCTTCCGCTCCGTCTTCCTTTGCCTTTTCCTTTGCCATATCTTCGGAGGTCTTCTGATGTCAACCAAATGCTCATTCCGGAGCCAGGCCGGAAGTAGCATACATGAAGCTGATCTTTGGGAACCACCGCATCAGGGTGCCGAGTCCAAACCAAAAGAACCAGCCGGAAGCCCCATTTCACACCAGTCACGGCATGAATGCTTCTCTGGCAGCCGCAGAATGCCATACCTGCCCACACAAGGTGACAATCTGACATGTTCTCTTTAGCTCGATCGTGAGTGACTCTAAGGCCAGGCGGCAGCAAGGACGCTACTAGGAGCAAAGGGCATCGCTACTCGGAGCAAGGACGCTACTAGGGGCTCCTGGCCTTAGTACTAGGAGCAAGGACGCTACTAGGAGCAAAGGGCAATCTCGAAAAATGGAGCTAAGTTCAACAAGCCACCACTTCCCGCTGGCAGTCGCATAGATACGGTTGGCTTCTTGGAGCCTGTCATGCTGCATAAAACAAGAGGTCCGAACAATTTGCAGAATGCACCTTCTAGGCGAAAGCTGCACTAATGCGCCACCACGGCCATTCATTCTTGGGCGTGGCAGGTTTGTAAGTCCAATTGACCTTCTCAACGTGTTTCTACAATCAATCTAGCATCAATCCCGCCAACTTCCCAACGCTCCACCAGTGCAACAAATACATGCATGTGGGCACCCCAGGTGCCAAAGAATTCTAGCTCTCCACCACCATAGTCTTCCGGATCTGTCAAGGCGATGGAGGCGCTGTAGTTCCTGAGCAGTTGAACATTGCAATTGCAAGACCTTGGTTGGCGGCTTGCACGGTAGCTGCTAGCCGCTAGCCCACAAGCACCAACCAAACCAACAAAACCGACAGTCACCGCACCGCAAAACAGAATCCGACCACTGAAGCTATCAAATCTACCCCTAGTAGCGTCCTTGTTCCTAGTAGCGATGCCTGTGTTATCAAATCTATCTATGTACACTAGAAGACGTGGGCGCATGCAGGTAGGCACTGCAGCTTGCAAAACTAAATGTGGCTCACTCTCTAATCTCTCACAGACTATACTGCCTTTGAATCTTCAGAGGCTTCACAAGGCTTCCCAGTTTAGTTGAAATACTAAACTAAACATTTGGATTTGCAAATTGCAACTGCCATTAAATTGCAACCGGCTCCTGTAGCTCGTGGTCTTCGATTCTTTCCACAGGACTTCTGCCCCAGCGCGTGCTGCCTCCACTTCATCTCGCTGCTTGATCTGCCGCCCGTCCCACCAAACCTTATGAAAAAGAAGTACTAACAACCTGACACAGTCGTCCCGAGACTTTTCGGAGTGCAGCCACAGAGCTGAATCGAACTGCACATTGTCAGCATGGGGTGGGTGTCCAAATTTGTTCGTACTGTTCACAGCAGCTTGATCGAGCACAAGAGGCTGTTCGAACTTCACAGCCATGGCCTGATTGCGGATTGCCATTCATGTCGGACGAATGTCAACAGTCATTGCAATACATCATCACAAGCACCAGCGCTGAGCCAAGCGGCATCAACAACCTTCTGAGCAATAGAATTGAAAGCATCAAACTCCGTATTTGAGAACACCCTCAGCAAGCTGCATGCTTAATTTATTGATTGCCACATTTTGCCACGTGTTCATGCCACAACATCTCCAATGGATGCTTTGAACTTCATCTGAATCGCATCGTCTTGCTTCAACTTGTCAAGGCTTGCTCTAGCTCCACTGCCAAGCCGCGGTTTCTTGTTGTACCATGGATTGCTCAGGTCATCGTGATGTCTTTTCCAAATTTCATGCAACGTCCTGTGAGAGA